AGAACCAAGGCTTTCTTTCAATCAAAGGTGACGTACAAATTTAAAATTGTTGGACTGGATGATAAACCATATTTTGTTATGGTTAAAAGTGTGTTCCTCACCTGTGGCTGCGGTAAATGTTTAGCAGTATAATGACGAAGCCCAAGCAGCAACAGGCCAGGTAGGGGCTACCAAAGAGCCCAGAGAGTCTTCGTGTACGATGCTCCCATCTCGCCACCTGACAACAGGAAGACAATGACAACGGTATTTACCATAAATATCCAATTAAACCGCATTAAAAAACTGAAAGTTAATGATTGTTTGTCACACTATGTCAGTCTAAAAAACCCTCAAAGCTCAACTTTTTAAACTCAAGTTTGGCAGAGCTCCAGCATTGCTATGTGGAGCGAGGACAACCTTACAGAAAGAAAATCATTTCTGCAGCACTCCACCAATCAGGCCTGTATGGTAGAGTGGCCAGAGAGAAGCTATTCTAGTAAAGTAAAAGACACATTAAAGCCCATTTGGAGTTTACTAGAAGGCACCTGAAGGATTCATCTGTATTCATGAGTAGATCGAACAGGAGGTCCTGAAGCCACTGAAGCCAGTTTTTTGCAGTCCCAGGTCAGTGAGGGAATGGGTTACACCAGTTTTACCAAGCAAGCATACTTTATAGTCCATCTACAAGCAACATTCAACCAAGAAAATAAGCTCCATGCAAAATCCTGTTCATTATATGCCTGAAACATCTAGGTCATTATCACAACAGTTTTGTTTTGTTTGTTTTTGTTTGTTTTTTACAGTATTATGTATGCAACAACAAGACGTGCACATGAAAACATTGGTTTTACTGGCCATGAAAAATCAGAATGCTCTTGACAAAATACTGAAAATGGTCTCCTGGTCAATTTGCATATACTTTTGTGAAGTCTCAAAAGTGCTGCCTTTATCCGCATTTTAATGAAGTTTTCAAAAATGAATAAGATTTTCACTGGAAGTGACAAGGATGGACAGGATAAGAATATCAGAGGGACAGTTCAGGTTGAGCTGTTTGGAGACAAAGTTAGAGAGGTGAAGCTGAAACGGTCTGGACATGTAGAGAGGAAGAATAGTGGCTATACTAGACAAAGGATGCTGGAGATGGAGCCGTCAGGCAGGAGGAAAAGAAGGCCACAGAGAGGGTCATTGATGTTGTGAAAGAGGACATGTAGAGGGTTGGTGTGACATAAGAGGATGCAAGGGATGGGCGAGACAGAGGCAGATTGTTACGGCCCTAGCAGGGCCTCCTCCTGAAAGTGCCTGTGGGGGCGTGTGTGCCGCCTTTCCCTTTTGTGCAGCTGACTCTCATCAGTAATCAAGGAGACTTAAGCCCAGGGAAAGGTTGTGTGTGTTTGTGGTGTTTGCAGCTAGTGAGCTGTTTTTTGTGGTTTGTATCTAGTAAGCTGCTCTCTTTTTGACTTATTTTGTACTTTATTGACCAACGCTTGAGTTTTGTTTGTTCCTTTAAATGGCGATAGCGGCTTGTCCGTCTCTTTTAGTTGGTATTAATAGAAACTTTAATAAAACTCTTTAATTTAACCCTTTTGCCTCCTTGCCTCCTTTTTCTGACCCGGACACTTTTTGTTACTTCCCCCTCACTGCCTAGACCCCTCAGGGGAACATAACACAGATACACTGCTGTGTCAATTGCTAAAGAGCAGCCAAAAGAAGCCAAAAGAAAAAAAATAAAACAGGATGCTTTGGCTACCACAGCAGTTTCTCGTATAGAGACAGAGAGATCTTGTTTGCTTTTGGTATCTGGCTTTGAGCCTTAAATAGCTAAATATTATGACTTTTGTCTATAGTTTTGAAATACTGTGCCCGTGATAGAGACAGAAGAGTGCTGTTTGTTTGCACATGTTGTTCTGCCCTGAAGCGATTATTTGTTCAAGTTTATTTGTTCACCTCTGAAACAGCTGGTGCATTTCCACACAGCTGTATTCTTTTGCTGGCTATTGACAAGTGTTTATTTTTTTTAAGCTCTTTATATAGTACCGTGCATATCCAGCAGGGAGTGACGCCATAGAATCTTATCTAACTGGTCACAGTTGCATTGTCCAAAACGCACTTCTCTCCCAAAAAAAGAGAATGGAAAATAGTCACATCCTACCCATTTATGCAGCACAAAAGGCGTTAAACCCATCTGTCCATATGGTGAACCTTTCATTGGCATTAGCAACTCAAAGTGCTGTTTATGAAATGACTGAAAAACTTAAAATTACCACCTGACAGTGGGCTAAGGAAATGCATAGATGACTGTAAAAAAAACCCAAAACAACAAAAATGAATCCCACAGGCACAAATGTTACCATGGCAACAGCTTTTCTATGTTCAGGAGCGGCAAGGTAGGAAAAAAGAGGAGGAATATAAATATAAAGGTGAGGTGAAACAAATGTTAAGAAGTGGTAACGAGTCCTTTATGGAGTGCAGCAATCCCCAGGTATAAATTGCATTGTTAATGGGTTAGCGCTACCTGCTCAAGAGCAATCAGAAGCAGCTGAGAAAGCATGCTTAAGCATGCTGAGAAAACCTGGCAGCTCTCTTTGCATTTTTAGAATAGATGAAAAGCTTAAATCAAAGAATTAATCCCCCTTTCTCTGCAGCTCATGTCGTCTGTTTTGTTTTTTAAATCCCAGCCTTCAGCAAGCCTTATGCTGACATTTCCTTTTTCATTCCTTCATTTTTCTTCTGCCTCCTAACAGAGTTAGTGCAGAGAGCTACAGTGGAGGGAATAAATAATAATTAGGTCTGCAGATAGCAGGTTTGTGTTGAAATGATGACGCAATGCATTTTACAAACACATCAACATATTCTTTTACCAGCATTTTCACAATGGTTCTTTTTGAGACTCAAAGTAAGTGGCACTGATCTAAAAAAAATAAAATAAAATAAAGGCAGGATGTGTGCTCAATACAAAAATAAGAAAACCTTCTTTTATATGCTGGTGAGAGCGCCCCATCAGCTTCACAATTCCTTGTATCACATAATAAACTGACTCATTCTAGCACCTCAATTTTGGGATGAATAACCTATAAAAGAGGTCATCTTCTGCTTTACTGCCAGTGTCATATACTTGCTCAAATGTCATCCTGAATTGGTCACTAGAGAAAAGATTTCCTGACCAGTTGGCCAAAAACACCTTGCAAATTTTCTAGGGTCACTCATGGGCTGCATGAACATACAGCACTTATTTACACTATGCCCAGCTTTCTGTGCATTGTGCTTCTGGCATGCTAGAGGGTCTCTTATTTGATAGTTGTTGGCAACCCTACCTACACCACTACACCAGCCCCTACTAGACTGTGCTAAACTATCAGTGGAAACACAAACAGAAAATGCTGTGCTATATGGGCAGATCCTAAAAGATTCCAGCTAAATGTAGCTAACGAATAAAGCTTAATATGATGTTGCTCCAACTTTGGATGTTGAAAATGTATTTAACAATGTGTGTATGCCAAAAAAGTTGAATATACAGATATAAACGAGAAGTAATTACACCTGTTGATAAAATTGCCAACAACTATTTGGTCAATTAATAATAAATTAGCTTCTGCGCTAGCACTCATTCTCCTGAATCTAGTCTTTCAGTCATTCAGGCAGGTTTCCATGTACATCTAATGTTACGTAAGCATATCTGCCCTCCCTACATGTGTCCATTATATCTCTATTATAGGTTTTTCCGGAGTTGACAGAAAATCATAGGAAAACGTCATGACAACCTGGTAATGCCAGAACTAGGTGATGTCAAAAATAAGAGAGGAAACATTATGTAACCATTCAAGTGTCCCTGATAAAACTACAGTTTAAGCTCCAACTGAATATAAATGAAATGTAAAGAGATGGGTTCAAAAGAGGTACAGAGTGTACTCGCCTAAGAGAGGAGGACATTTTGTGACCAATCAAATTCTTAGCCATTGATATTAAGAGTTTTATTACTTTCTGCTAAATATACCAGATGACTCAGGCTAATCCATGTTATTATACTTTATACATTAATGTGAAAAAGAATGGATACCCTCTTTAAATATTGAGGTTTTATATACTAGGGCATCACTTTTTTTTAAAAATGATCAAAAGCTTATTCAATAGGAAAGATTCAATTCATGACAGTACAATTAGAAAAAGACTGAACAAGTATGGCTTGTTTGTCAGGAGGACAAAAAAACTTCACAAACAATGTCTTTTGGACAGATAAGACCAAAGTGGTCATGACTGCCCATAATACACAATACAGCATATCAGCACAAACACCTCAAACCAACTGTCAAGCACGTTGGTGGAGGTATAATAATTTGGACTTATTTTGCAGCCACAGTAACATGAACTCCTTTGTCTACCTAAAACACTGTGCAGTCCAATGTGAAGCCATCTGTCCAATAGGTAAAGCAACAATGATCCATGCACATTATCAAAGAAAGGTCTAAATAGCTCACAAAAAAGAACGATGTGTTGCAAAACCCAAATCAAATGGTGTGGCATAAACAAATGCCTGCGAACCTCAATGAACTGAAGCAACTTTATACAGAAGAGTGACCACAAATTTTTCCGCAACCATGTGAGAGGCTGATAAAGTCATTGGTCCTAAAGGTGTTTCTCCAAGCCAATAAATCCTGCTCTGCTTCTGCAATTTGTCTCATGCTGTTGAATAAATAATGACACAATATCATGTGTTGTTCATTTGAGGTCATGTTTATCTGATTACGACCAGATGATGTTTTTACTTCTTGGTAAGTAAAACCTTTCACATGGCAGCACTTTTTACAAACCATTTCAAAAGAGTTTGTCTAACAGAAAAACAAGAAAACGCAACACAGTCAAGAAACACAGATAGATGCACGACAATGAAATAAGATTTCGGAAAAATGAATAAATAAAAGGATGAGGCAAAAAATGCTGGCAGTGTCCAGTGGTACCCCTCAGCCTCATAGTAGTTACACATATGGTATCAATTTCAAAATCCTAGGTGACTCCCTTCGAGTTATTGCACTGACAAGAGTTTCAGAAAACATGACTTCCGACCTTTGACCTTGATGCCAAGGTGACTCAGATTCTATCTCGTCCAAGATTTTAAGTAGATGCATCTATGGCATGGGTAGGCAACTCCAGGCCTCGAGTGCCGGTGTCCTGCAGGTTTTAGATCCCACCCTGGGTTAACACACCTGATCAAATGATTAGTTCATTACCAGGCCTCTGGAGAAC